CTCCTTTATGTCCATGGTTGAAAGCAGATCATAACCCAGGGTCCATCAACATCTTCTGAACTGCAAAACCACTCATGCTAATTGTCTTGCCATGACAGAATAAAAAACCAAGTCTCAAATGGAAACCCCTCAAGGAACAATAAAGTCATTTCCAACCCAGCAGCCCACTTCCCAGAGGGGTAAAAAGGGTTCCATCAATAGGCTAAGGGCAGTTTTGTTTTCTTTTACCAGTCTTTCACTAAACACGTGTATATTCATAAAACTTTTAATACACTAATCTCACAGAAAGAATATGGGATTTTCCAAAGGCTCCATGAGCATGGAACTGAAATGAGAATAGTTTAATCAAAACAAAAACATGGAAGCGGGAGTAGAATATTAATAAAGATGCTGAGATATTTATGATAGGAAATTTTAAATACTTTAACTTCAGAATACTAAATTTTGCCTATAGGGAACAACCTGAGACTCCTGCATAAATTACGTTATTGGGCCTTTGATGTGGCTTTACCCCCAGTGAAAAATTACACTGGGGGAAAATCAGCTTGCTGGGAGTTGTCAGTCAAGAAACGTGTCTTCATAATAATTTGGTGTATATGCAGCCTTGGGATTTCTCACCTTGGCTTGGTTTACATGAGTGGGACGTTCTGATTTACATCCTGTCTGATCAAGGAACCCTTGTATCGGTATGGAAAGGTTACAGCTGGCCGACTGTGTGCTTGGACACCAAACAGAACAAGCACAAATCCTCCATGAACCTTTTCTTAACCTAAGCTTCCTCAGGATCCCCATAGGTTAATTCTACCAAGTGTGAACCCGGAATTTTAAACAAAATTACCCAACACTCAAGGAAACAAGCCATTAGAAGTATGCGTCACTGGAACCCAAAATTTAGATTTAGAACCTCAAAGGACTTTAGATATTGTACTTTAAGATGTGCACTTTTAAATTGGTAAATGTCTATGGGGACAGAAGACGGACTCAAATGCACAAGGTGTAAGACGCGATCATCAGACATCGTTTTCAAGGTCACTGAAATTAGTGTCTCAAAGAGTCTACCTAGACTATAGCTGAAGAATTAGAGAAGAGCCCAGGAAATTACCCAGAAAGCATCTCTGAGATTTAAAAAAGCAAGAAAATTGAAAGAGGAACAAACAGAATAGATTTTTAAAGTGATCTTTATTTAGCAAAGCAGGCTTTCTACTATTTGACCAGTTATCTGTAAAGTTCCAGTTTCACATTGTTTAACCTAATATATCTAACAAACATTTTACAAGGAGAGAATTTGGGGGAAGATAAATGGTTAAGAATTTTCCAAAAAAATGTAGATATGCAAATCTTTAGATTCAGTGTACAACAAGCAAACGATAAATAGTAAAGCAACACCTGGACACTTCCTATGGGAACTACCAAATACCACAGACCAGAACTACCTGAAACAGCTAGAGAGAAAAGAGATCCTTTATAAAGAATGCATTTCACCACTGCCGTCACTAACTGGTGATAAGAATGAGAGTAAAAGTAGGACAGTTTTCAATGAAAATGTTTTCTGTCAACAAACTCATTGCTGCTGAGTTAATCTCAACACATAGAAACCGTGTGTAGGGTTTCCAAAGCTTACATCCTTATAGAGCAGACAGCCTCATCTTTCTCCCACTGAGCGGCTGGTGGGCTTAAACCATCAACCCTGCAGTTAGCTATCTAACACACTTACCCATTTCACAGAGAGGATAGGTCTGACATATAGGAAGGGATGTTTTTATTGGGTGCCATTGAACTGACTTCAACTCGTGGACCACATACAACAGAATGAAACACCCCCAGGTCTTGTGTCATCCTTACAATCTTAGTGATGCTTGAGCCCATTGCTGCGGACACCATTTCCATCCATCTCATCAAAGGGCCTCCTCTTATTTGCTGACCCGCTACTGTACCACGCATGATGCCCCTTTCCCAGGGACTGAACTTGCTTTATGGGGTTCATAGTACGTGAGATGGACTGTCACCGTCCTCATGTGAAGGAGCATTCTGGTTCTACTTCTTCGAAGACAGAGTTGTTTGCTGTTCTCGGGCTGCGCCTTAGGTTTCTGAGACTTGTAAAGCTTTGTGGGAGCAGGCAGCCTTATCCTTTCCCTCGGTTCAATCACTGACCTTAAGGGTAGCAGCCCAGTGCTTAGACCACAGCACCACCAGGGCTCTTTAGACTACCCTTAGAGGTCTATAAAGACCTAGTAGCAATAGGCATTTCTTTTTTTTTAATCGTTTTATTAGGGGCTCATACAACTCTTATCACAATCCATACATACATCAATTGTGTAAAGCACATTTGTACATTCATTGCCTTCATCATTCTCAAAACATTTGCTCTCCACTTAAGCCCCTGGCATCAGCTCCTTCATTTTTCCCCTCCCTCCCCGCTGCCCCCTCCCTCATGAACCTTGATAATTTATAAATTATTATTTTGTCATATCTTGCCCTGTCCGACATCTCCCTTCACCCACTTTTCTGTTATTTGTACCCCCAGGGAGGAGGTTACATGTAGATCCTTGTAATCAGTTCCCCCTTTCCAACCCACCTCCCTTTACCCTCCCAGTATGGCCACTCACACCACTGGTCCTGAAAGGATCATCTGCCCTGGATTCCCTGTGTTCTGGTTCCTATCTGAACCAGTGTACATCCTCTGGTCTAGCCAGATTTGTAAGGTAGAATTGGGATCATGATAGTGGGGGGTGGGGAGGAAACATCTAGGAACTCGAGGAAAGTTGTATGTTTCATCATTGCTGCATCGCACCCTGACTGGCTCTTCTCCCTGAGACCCTTCTGTAAGGGGATGTCTAGTGGCCTACAGATGGGGTTTGGTTCTCCACTCCGCACTCCCCCCCCCCCCATTCACAATGATATGATTTTTTGTTCTGATGATGCCTGATACCTGATCCCTTCGACACCTTGTGATCGCACAGGCAGGTGTGCTTCTTCCATGTGGGCTTTGTTGCTTCTGAGCTAGATGGCCACTCCACTTGTTTACTTTCAAGCCTTTAAGACCCCAGACGCTGTGTCTTTTGATAGCCGGGTTCCATCAGCTTTCTTCACCACATTTGCTTATTCACCCACTTTGTCTTCAGCGGTTGTGTCAGGAAGGTGAGCATCATAGGGCATTTCTATACCCCAAACTAACAAGAAATGCAACTCCAGGCAAGCCTGCTGTCAGCTACTCCTCTCAGTTGAGGCTTGTGTAAGAAATGATGTGGTTCTCTCTGCAGTCTGGGCAGAAAAGCAGTAGGGAGCTGTCTTGACTATTGGGAGAGTGCAGAAATAGGCAGCTTTCTAGCCTGTTTACTGTAGTTTAGTTCCTTTATTTCAAATATTGTGAACTCCTAGAAGATGACAATGTTGGAACAGACATTCCGCTAAAAAATTTTCCCCCTTATTTTAGTGAGATTCAATTAGAATCAATTGCATATGGATCTCAGCTCCTAAAGAATCATGCTCTTGAGATGTGTAAATTATTCTGGTTTTTTTCTTTTAATAGCTGAATGTTGAGCTCAGACGTTTACATATAAAATTCTAGTGATTTTACTTCTGCTGTATGATGAATTTTGAAATAAAAGAATTTATTGTACAGATGTGAGTTCATGTCACCATGACCTCTTCTGGCCCTTTCTAAATCTTACTGTGGGCCTCTCCACCCCCCACCCCCATCAACCGTGTGAAGACCGAAACAGAATTGTCTGGGGGAAACTAAGGCCTGTCATTTTCTCTTAGTCTTTAGGAAAAGAAGGTAGCATTACCGCTGGCTAGGCTAGTATCTAACTACAACCCTACCATTAGGAACGCTGTACAAGTCCCTTTTAACTGCCTTTTCTCCTCTTCTGGCAACTAATCAGTTGCCTCAAGAATTCCTTCATCGCTAAGGGCCTTTATGTATTAAGTCTTCTCGTTTAAATGTAAATGATTCAGAGTATATTCTAAATGCCTTAGAGAACTTCCCTGTTAAGAGAATTCCTTTTGCAAAGCTTAGAACTACCTGTTAATTATGGTTTGTGTTTGCTTTCTTTTCAAATTGTTAGTGGTGATTTCCCCCTCCCTCCGCCTTCTATCTGGATTTTCAAATGCATGGTTTACTTACAAATAGGGTATACTTAGAAAGGATTTCTCAGGTCATTTCTGAATTTCCTCCCCTCTGGGTTAAAATGCAGTGACATAGACAGCAATTTGAATATGCCTGCACTCATATCAAGCTGGCTCTTTTCCCAAAGAGAAACACCTCCAGCCGTGTTCCCATGTAGTGGAAGCTCAGTGGAAGGATGGCTGTAGCTAACACTGACCGAGTCTCATGATGCCTCACCTCTCCTTTGGCTTTCTCTTTCTGCTCCGGTGCTGCAGCTGGTGGACAGTGAGGTGGTCATGCTTTCAGCGCACTGCGAGAAAAAGAAGACCAGCCTCAGGGAGTTACAGGAGCAGCTCCAGCAACTGCCGGGCCTAGTAGCCGATCTGGAATCCATGACTGCAAACCTGAGTAAGTTCTCTGCTTCTTTGCATGACTTTTAGAATCGAAGATAATTTGGGTAGAAATTGGGTGGGATGTCAAGCTTCATAACTCACTGCACTGTGAGAGTCGATTCTGAATCACAGTGACTTTGTAGGACAGAACAGAACTGCTCCCCATTGGGTTTCTGAGGCTGTGGATCTTCCTTGGACAGAAAGCCTCATCTTAATCTCTTGGAGTGGCTAGTGGGTTTGAACTACTGACCTTGTGGTTAAACAGCCCAATGTGTAACCCATGACATCACCAGGGTTCCCTTTCAAGCTTCAGAAGAGCAGATAAATTCTTGGCTAGTGGGAATTTCTGGAAAACTGTAAGTTCTAACTGATTTCCTGTTCTGATTAACCGAGGATTAGACAAAGATAAAAATGTATTTAATAAATTGTAGAAATAACTTCTAAAACATAGCAGTTCAATTCAGGAAGCATAGTTAGTTGTGTGGATTCTTTGAGTGGCTCGGCGCCGTCTTTGATGGGCATGATGAATGCTCTCTTCATCTAAAGTATCGCCGTAGAAAACAGAAGGGGCCAGGATGACTCTGTCCTGGCTGGAGCATGCTCTTGCTTGTCGCCACTGCTGTGCTTTTCATATTCCCTGTCGGCTGTGACTTCCTGCCTTGCAGCATGCTGCTTTCTCCACAGACTGATGAGAGCAGATGAGCAAATTCCGTTAAATGAGAGAACTTAGTTGGCTAAATTCAGAACCTTGTTGAAGTTTTCTTTCTTTTTTCCCTTGTTTCCATTTGGATGGGTTATGCTAGGTCCTTTATTGCTTAGGTTTATTCTCAGAAGATTACCTTTCATGTTTGACATGGCCACATCTTAGTCTCCTCCTCTGGCTGATCTGGTTTGAAACAGAGTAGATGCAACAGCTCTTTCTCTTGGGGGGAGAGGGGGGCAATGGGGGGCTGTGGCATTTTTTACCCAAGCTTATTAAGATCTGAGTGAAGTAGGAGGTGGGAGCCACTCACACAAAAGAGAAACTCTTCTTGAGCTGATCTTGACAGGTGAGAAACAAGGTACTATATCATCTCTTTCGGGGTTTCAGGATAATCTTGTTAAAAAAAGAAATCAACGTTATTTACAGAACAAGTACTTTCTGAATCATAGACTAGCTTCTGTGAGTGAGTAAAATATGCAAATAGTGTTTGCAATGTCCCTGAGAAGCTCGCAACTACTAACCACATCAGGGCTGTTCAATCCGACACAGAGGCGCCATCTGCTTCCAAAAGGGGCAGCCTGGCAGCCCGGGGAAGCACAGTGGCTCCGCATGGTTGACTGGATGACGGCCCGTTTGGGCTTCGCCCCTTTTTTATTGTGCACCTGGATGTGTTCCAGCGCTCGGCTGCTAACTGAAAGGTTAGCAGTTTGAACCTACCCCGAGGTGCCTTAGGAAAAGGGCCCGGTGATCTGTTGATCTGCTTCTGAAAAGGTGCGGCCTTAGAAGCCCCACGGAACGTAGTTCTGCTCAGCAGTACGTGCGTGGTGTGTGTCAGAATCAGCTCCACACAGCAGTTCTTTGTTTTGTTTCAACTGCGTCAGAGCTTGTTAGGTGCTGTGCAAACATGAATCCTCACAGCAACCCAAGAAAAGTTGCTTTTGTTCTCCCCACTTCACAGATGCAGAAATGGAGCCTTGGAAAACATGTGAAGTGTTAGGGTGACAGAGTTCTTAAGAGGCACATTCAGGAACCCAGCCTGTCTGGTGGCGTCCTCAGCAGATGATGACGTGTAGTTGGGATGGCAGCTCTCGCTCGGCCTGCCGACAGTGTCTTGCATGAACTTTATTAGGGTTCCTGTTCATATGTGGTGGTTTTATTCCAAGTAAAACACGTGTGAACATGTCTCTGAGATCAGTGAATGGCTGCAGATGAGTTTTCAGTCATACACTTTCCTTACCCTGCCTGGCGGTAATGACGAGTGGGGCTCTGGGTAAATGTTAACTGTCAGGAGTGGTAACCCCGAGCCACACTCGGGACTACACTGCAGAGAAGTCCCTTAACAAAATCACTGACATAATTAGACCACCAGGGAGGTTAATCTTATTGGACGGCCTTCAAACTCAAAAGGTCCGAGTAAAACAGTATCTTCTGAGGGGAATCTGCAGGTCCAGTTAGATTTAAGACAGAGAGGTCAGCTTAGAAAGCTACGGCGATAGATTTTCTTAAAGGTCGCAGGGCCAGGATGGGGCTTATGCAGACATTTTTTAAAATCATTTTATTAGGGGCTCATACAACTCTTATCACAATCCATACTTACACCAATTGTGTCCAGCACATTCATACATATGTTGCCATCATCATTCTCAAAACACCTGCTTTCTACTTGAGCCCTTGGTATCAGCTCCTCATCTTCCCCCCCCTCCCCTCTCCCCCTTGAACCCTTGATAATTTATAAATTATTATTATTTTGCCATATCTTATACTGTCCTACGTCACCCTCACCCACTTCTCCACTGTCTGTCCCCCAGGGAGAAGGTTATATGTAGACCTTGTAATCTGTTTCCCCCTTTCTCCCTCACCGCCCCTTCACCTTCCTGATATCGCCACTCTCTCCACTGGTCCTGATGGGTTCATCTGTCCTGGATTCCCTGTGTTTCCAGTTCCTGTCTGTGCCAGTGTACATCCTCCGGTCCAGCCGGATATGTAAAGTAGGAGAGAGGAAGCATTCGAGAACTAGAGGAAAATTGTACATTTCATCGTTAGACATGCTTCCCAAATGTTGAATTCTCTCTCTCAAATGGGGGAAAATCTACCACTTGAAGGGAAGGTAAAGTTCAAGGGCTCTCTGAAATCCTCCTCTGGTCAGATCATCGCTTCTGAATCGTTTGAGTCAGTGGTTTTTTCCTAGTCTGTGTCTACCCTGTATTGGACACCGGTTTAATTCACAGTACTTAGAATCCTCTTTCACCCTTCTTTCCCCCCAAAACAACCCCCCACTACCAGTTGCCATTCGGTTGATTCCAGGTTATGTCAGACCGGGGAACTCTAGTGCATAGTGTTTCTTGGCCACATTCTTTATGGAAGCAGATCATCCACCTCTCTTCCTTTTGCGCCTCCCAGGGACTTAGATTGCTTAGACTAGAATGTAGAAGGTTAGGTTTGTCTTGTGGGTTCTTTTTGCTAGTCTGAATGATCTATTAGAGCATTTGAAAGATATGGTTCCTTTTGGTTTTAATCTGTTGCTGTTATTTCCTAATGAATGACCGACTGTAAAAAATGTCAAGTCAAAGCTAGGAATTCTAGAGGCCTCCTGTTTGTTCCGGGCGTGCCGGGGGCACTGTGGACTGCTGTGGAGTTTAGCTTACACAGCAGAACCGTTGTGAGGGTAACTGCAGAGCACTGAGTGGGACAGGATGGCCAGTGCTGTGTTCTGTACTGATGAAGGGTGAGGTGGAGTGTTTGCATCCAGGCTCTATAGATGGAAGTTTCAAACAGTATGTGGGGAAATTCCATTACCTTGTCATTTGAATTTTCCACAAACCTTTTTGAACCCCCCTTGTACTCTTCGTTTGTGACAGAATTGCGTGAAACTGGGAGAGATGCATGGAAAGTATTGATTTGCATTCTCTTGAACTTCCACTGGAGGGTAGTGTAATCCTACTTCTTGATTGGAGCTTAAAAGATCAAGTGCTTCTCTTTGAGTTTTCTCTCTTTTATTATAAAGAGTGTGCCCTGCTTTAAAAGGCTGATACTCTTGTCCAGAACAGAAGAGTCTGGTAAACTTTCAGTAGCAAAGTAAGGGAAGAGAATGAACCAATATACTGAATTTGTACGTTTATTTTTATCTCCCTTAACCCAATGCATGATGGTTTTGTGTCTGTACAAAATTTGAAAGGGCATGTGGCAGGGTCTGTGACCAGTGCTTCGTGAACAAGATTATGCTGTGGTCAGATGAGATATTCCACAGAACCACGCTGACTCCCTTTAGACGCCTGTTAGTACACTCCATGGGCCTCCTTGGGTCTTTAATGGCTTTGGCAAGTGATACATCTCTACAAGTTCCCCTGTTACCATAAATTAATAACTTGAGCACTCGAAGAATCTTACAGTGTTTTAGTACCTGGCCTGTGTGACCTAATTATTTTGTTAGGGAAGTACTGTGGAATAATTAATTAAGCGTGCTTCTTCATCCTTTATGCCAGGGGTGACAGTGCAGATAACACATATCGAAATGAACAGCACAAAGAAATGCCCGAACACAATCCCTCTTCCTCTGGGACAGTCTCACAAAGATCCGTGAGGCTCTTTTGAGCACAGCTGTCAGACGTCCCCAAGTGCATTGTCATAATCAAATCCCACCTATCTTTTCCACTGATCACTAAACGTGACATATGCCGCCGTCCTAATGAGCAAAACGGTGGGCTTTGAGCTTCTGGTCCACAGAGGCCTGCTGCTCGTGTTTTATGTACATGGTTCTAAGTTTGGTCACCACATGCACTCATCTGTGTACTCCCTTTATAATAGAAAGTGAGCAGGTCGTGGCCGCGCCAGTTTACAGTGAGAATTCACAGCACACGTGAAGGGGCTGCAAAAGGCTTCTGGAGCAATACCTTCCGCTCCCACTTCCATTTTTCTGCCAACTTTTCAAAGCCCTTTGTATTTGCTTGCATTTGTATGCCTGGCCAATTAAAGTATCATTTAAAGAGATAAGAAAGGGAGAAAATGTGTCTTTGTTAGCAGAACCCCCTCTGTGTGTTATTGCTGGCTTCCAGCTCGTTAAAAGTTACGTACGGTGGAAAGTGGCCATTGCTTCTGCTTCTGCTCACCGGTACAGTGGCACTACGGCACGGTCTGGCGGTTTACTGTTTTCCCATTTCCCTTCCCATGCTTCATTTAGTCTCTGACGAAATTCCATGTGGTCTGTTAATATTTAAATGACATGCACATGAACCATAGATTTGCGTTCTCAACTATTCTTTCGAGTTCGAGAGTGACGGAGCTCCAGCCGAGCTTCTCTGAGTGAGCTCAGTGGA